TGTGCACATTACGGTGCTTTGTCGTGGTAAAAAATATTTTTATGTCCTATTGCGTTTTTTTATACATTTGCTATATATATATATATATATATATATGGTGTGAAGCAGACTCCTCTTTACCCTTTGCTTTTTAAACCTTTTGGAGTTTTGATAAAGTCAACAAGTGATAGAATAGAAACAAACTTTGGTCCCTTGAGGGAGTTTGGTTCGTCACATAAACATATGTTATCTCAAAGTATTAAGCACAAAACAATTTTAGTTATTCACATTTCATGTTCAAATATACAATTAAGGAAAATATATTTAAAAGTTTCGGAAATGAAACAGAAATTGTCAAAAGTAAAGCATATGTGTTGTGGGAGGAGTCTGAAACTTTACAATTTAAATGTAAAGCTTGTACTTTACAAAGCCATTGTTATTCCTCAGGTCTCCACACRTCTCTGTGAGTTGAATTGAGCACCAAAGCAATTTTTTTTTAGCTTGATCTGCTGTTTTTTGCTGGTGTTTTAAGTACCTAAATCCTAAATAGCATCAGCCTGTGTTTCACCTTTTTTAAATAACTGTTTTCGCTAAATAAGTTTTCATTTCTTTTACAATGCCTTGTTGAGATGAGTAGATACGTATTGTCAAAAAGATTGTTCTCTGATACAAAGTGCCCTGTCTTGTTCTCCTAAACGCCTGTTATCTCAACATTTCCTGTGATCAATAAGAGACCTTTGGAATTCAAATCAGCTCGTCTAAAGTCCTCTTTAGTCCACTCTGGTCAAGTCTTTATAATGACAGAATTAGGACTGCTCAGTTCATAGCACATACGACTTCAGGTGATCATGTTAAAGTTTTTGCAGTTCAGTTACTTTCTGTYAAAGGTTCATTAGAGTGGAGAGGCTCTACATTTTTCATTTCATGAAACTAATATATATTGCATGAGTTGAATGAATTATAAAACTAAGAACTACAGTAAAGATCAACTGCATCGCAGCATTAATTATAAGTACTAGTCTGTCCTTGACCTTTTTTGTTATGAAATGTCTTCTGCCTCTCTTTTTAGCAGAGGACAGACTGACCTCCCCCGCTGCTCACTGTCAGGTTGGTACAGTCCATGCAGGCTGTAGATTACCATACTGTGGACTAGATTGGGCTAGAGTTGGGGGATGGGTGTTGTTGCTATGCAGCAGTCTGTGCAGTGTACTTCCTCTCTGCCTGTGCACAGCCTAGCCAAGGTTGATTATTACTAATCACAATGCTGAACTTTTAAAACTCATCTGACATAAGATTTTACATCTAATTATAGAACTTTTTTTTTAAATATCATTCACTTCTTACAAAAAAAAAAAGAAACAAAAAAAACTGCTATTTATGTTTAACTGTATCATGTTCTGTCTTATGGCATAGAAAGCACCAATGTGGCTTTTCCTTTTTAATATTAAATTAAAACTGGATTTAAACCCACTTTGGCTACACACCCTTTTTTATAGAAGCACACCCCTGCAGGAAGACAAATGGACTAGTCCAAACCGAGCCCCTCCTCCTTTCTTTTATGTTCTGGTGCCGCCATCTCAGCTGTTCCCTGCTCCCACAATCAGCAAATATATGGAAGGCCCAATTCCACCCCTCCTGCTAAAGGTTGATGTTCCTTTTTTAAGCATGCATTTGATTTTTCTGTCACTGTGGAATTTRTCTCTCTTTCTTGTTTTAGCTCCATATTTAATCTAAACTTTTTGTTTTATAAAAAATGTAGAAATGTAGATTTTAATGTAGGTTTGTACTTTGTTTCAATGGAATCCATCATTTTCAGGTGCATCGGGACTTTGCTGTAAACCCTGTGTAGCTGTTCAACCGTGTCATTAAAAACTCTTGGTACCTTAGACATGCATGTCAGCAGTGTGCATGGTTTTTATTGTTTGCGTTGACATGTGCACTTTTAGGGTATACAGGTTTTAGAAATGTTAGGTGGTCAGTTGATTGGAAACMTCATCCAGGTGTGTATCATTGTCTACAGCTGTGATGGTAGTCAATCGTTGTTTTTCCATTTGTATACTTGACAACATTGACTGTTTTACAAATGAAGCCTATTCTGCTGCGCACAGTGCTGTGATAGGATCTCTGGATTGACACATGGTGACTTTTGGAAAAGATACTGAAATATCGGGGCCTGAGGTGGGCATGGCTTGTGTGTATAAATTTGCTGGTACTTTTTTTTTTGCTCGTTTGTATAATCGGGAAAGTAAGTCCTTTACACAGACTCTAAAAAATGAAGGGTTTTACTTAACTAAACTGGTTCCAATAAACAAAGTTAAGTAAATCGCTTTACATTTACTCACTAGGTTTAGTGGAACCAGTTGACATAACTTAGTTAAGTAAATTCAACGCTTAATGGTTTAGAGTGCGAAAACAACTCCTCCTTATGATGAGTTTGAACATATTTAAATTTGTAATGTAACGAAGTAAAAAATATAAATTTGTTTTGAATTTTAAAATTAAAGTAAAAATAAAAATTACAATTAAAAAATGTATTTTTATACATTTGTTTTTACAAAAATTTTACAGATACTCAAAAAAATTTGTAGCGAAGTAAATGTACTTAGTAACTAAAACTGATGCTGAAAATGATCTGGGATCCTTGTATCAGATGCTATTCTGATGTCTTTACTTTGTACTGTCAAAAACTGTTAAATATAAACAGGAATATTCATTGATAATCTTTCTGTTAACTACATGTATCTGTATTTTGCTTTTTGTGTAACAATTAGGGTGGGGCATAATCGTATCGTCTGCAATTAATCRTCAGAAAAACAATCGATCATTTTTTGGCACTTGACGATTAATATGATTAATGCTACGAGACAGACTGGGGATTACTCCAGTCTGTCTGCTCGGTGCTCCTTTCCACTTCAAATATGACGAACATTAAAAAAAAGGTTCTGTAATTTTTTTTRTTTATCAACACAATTTAAAATTTGATGAACAGCCTGAAGACTAATTTTTGACACAATTTGAAACAGATTTTTACAAAGAGCAAGTCTTTCCAACTAAACTGGTCATGTGACTAGGACATAAGGGTGTCCAGGGACTCCAGGGGATTAATCGTCAAAATAATAATAATCGGCTAAATACCACAATTAATCGTGATTAATTTTTTTTGCCAATATTGCCCAACCCTAGTAACAATATGACATTTGTTATATTAAATTTCTACAACCTATAATTTTATCATTTAGCCACATTATGTGGTTGAGGTGATGCAATTTCTCTCGTTTGTAAAATCATTCATCCATTTTCTTCACTTGCTTCTCTGTGCAGCGTACGTCAAATTGTTCTCAGTCCAATACTGCAGTTAAAATAATTCATASACTACAAGTTGTTTTAAGTAGCACAACAGGAATGGATGTTTCTTGTCAGTAAACTAGCATGAAACAAGTCATGCTAAAATAATATAGTTTTACTTTAGAGACATAGTTTTTTTTTTTCAATGTTTTTAAAACCGTTTTGGATGGCAGTCTGGTATTTGACTATGAACTAAAAAAAATTTCCAGCGTTTTGTGCCCTGTGTGGACTTAATTTGAAATGCATGTTTCAGCCAACCACTATATCAAAGACGCAAAAAGATTTTATTAAACTGTGCAACAGATAAATCACTGCTGTGGCTGCATAGTTAGGGTTTTAAATTATATATTGTACATTCAGCTTGCTGATTCTTCAGGCTGAACAGAAAAAGGTTACTGTGCAGAGTAGTTCTGCAACCTGATGCAGTGTTGTTCTGCTAGCCACAGAGGTCTCAGTCTAACAACAAGCAGCACATCTGACCGCCATTTTGAGTCCAGGCGTGGTTATTGAGGCCGCAGGATGGGGGAGGGAATATTATGCTCTGCGCAGTGTGCAATAACATTGGAATGTGAAGTGGAACAGTGATCGTGTCTGCTTTAGTAGTGACATTCTGCCATGCTTTTAAGTTGTTGAAGCAGTTAGTGTTAATCATAAATGTCTATTTTTGCACATTTCTTGCAAGAAGCATGCAGGTTGATGAGATAACAGAGCAAGAACGATTCAGTGTTGAGCTGAGCACTTTGCTCTGGTACTTTAGTGTGTTAAGTATACGCGTAGTCCAAATTTGTCGTTGTATTTTTTTCACTAAGTAGCAAAAGACAAACACGGTCAAACCTAATTTGGCTGAAGCTGTGTCACATGACTGCCTGCTGCAGTCCTATGGGTCAGCAGCGCACAAACATAGAAGCTAACCAACTACAGAGTACTACTGAAGCACTTTATTACTTTCACCAGATCAACTCTTTTAAGTCTCTTAAACAACAATTTGATTCAAATGTTTTGTTCCTGTAGTGAAACTAAGACATTTTCTGCTGTTTTCTTCTATCTGAATGCTTCTGTTTGACTGTTACTGAGGCTGTTCTTATCAAAACCACAGGAAACAAATCGTCAGTGTTTTTGTAATCTGTAATCAGAAAAATTATTAGTTTGAAAGCTTTTTTTTGTGCAGATGACCCTTCTCTTTAGACTTAAATTTTTACTCTACTTTGGTAACCGTTTTACAACTCTTCTCTGAGCTGATATTTGTCTGAACACAGCTTTCTAGTCTTGACAAGTTTTTCATAATTTCTGTCTTAAATTGTTGAAAATATCTTGAATAAACACACTGAACCACATTTCTCAAAAGCTTTGTCGGTAGTAACAAATGTTTTTACTGAACAGCTTCAAATCATGTATGTAACTGAAAATTCTGCTTCGTAATGTGAAACACTGAAGTATTACTGTAGTAGCAGCATTTAAGGAACTGCAGAAAGTTTCTGGAAACGTAAAAATTTTATAAAATATTTGGACAGTTATTATGAAAGATAACATGTTTCTGATACTAAATGTATTTTTAATTTGATGAAATTCAAAGTGCCATTATGTCGGTGCACAATGAACAGCTTTGTTTCATCCTCGGAGTTGTAATTAGACTTGATTCAGTACAGCTGGATTAAGGGTTGTAGCATTAGCCACGTTGTCAAATTTACAAATATAAAACAACCTCTTTTTCTCCCCTTTTTCCTCAGATTTTCGACAAATCCTGCGTTAAATTCATGACCAGGATTCTTTCGTCCTGAAGGTAGGTAGGTCACAGTTTGTTTACTCGTTTATATATTCTCACTTTTTTTTTGGTGCAAGGTAAAAAATTGTGTACTGCAGCTACTCCCCTGCTACACACATCTTCAATCCATTTCTTATTTGTGTGRCTCGTAAAAATACCATGAAGATTAACTCACAGAAGTATGATATTTAAAAGAGCTCAAATATAATAAAAAATTATAAAAATGTACAAATAGCCTCATCTGTACAGTGTAAGAACCGATCAAATGGTGTACGGAAAGTCCTTCCATGTTTTGCATAACCTCTTTGCTGCTGTAAGCACTGCCCCAGTTAGGCCGTTCTGATTTGCTGAGGATTCAGCCAATTGGTAGGTGGGGGGATGGGAGGAAGGCTGGGTTACTGCTGCTGTTAACTTCATGCTCTTTCTTCTGTTTTCTGGATCCGGACTTAGGTAAACAGGAAATCCATAGGTCAGTTACATGATTTTAGGTAGTTATGGAACAATTAGACTTAACTTGACACCATGAAGGAGGGTTTCTGCCTTAGTGAGGTGCGCTCATTGACTGCTGTCCCTTTAGGACAATGTCAGCTGAGTGGAATCATATTGTGAAGGTCTGACTGATTAATTGACCTCAATAACAAATGTGTAAAAATATTAAAAGTAGACACGTTTGGAAAGCGACAAATTTAGAGAAAAAACATCARTGAAAGAACCTTCTAGAAAAGAACAAGAGCTCTACAGCGACCTCTAGTGTTTTGTATCAGGCTGTGCAGCCATTGCTGAAATGTTCCAGCGCAAAGATCAGGACACTCATTAGCGTAATGTACTGTGTGTTTTTGGAGGTCTAGAGCTTGTCTAGCTTCATTATCTCCTCTGCATCTTATCCGTCCTTGTCACCCTGCAGAAAGCAATGGAACTTGTGGCAACAGAGGAAAAAAAGAAGATTTTCCGAGCTAAGAAAACCATGAAGATGAGTGATCGTCTGCAACTGGAAAGCCTTCACAGCACTTTACTGACAACAGCCCCGCGCTTGTCTAACCCATCTCCGCCGCCAATGGTGAACGGCACGCATAAGGAGGATGGACAAAAAGGAACTGAGAGAGAGCAAAACAACACGGTTGATCGGAGCTCCCCTCGCACCGGGTCGCCTTCCACTCCAACACCGACGAGCTCTCCTGCACCGTTCCTGTCGCTTAATTTATCACCATCCACCGCCTCTTCCCAAAGTCCCAACACTCCGGAAGAAGTGACTTCCCCGACTTCCCCGTTCCACTCTGAATTTCCTGATGTGAACAAGACAAAGGAAGTGGAAAAGAAAATTTCTTCACCATCCCAGTCAAATGAGTCTGTTACATCAGTGCCAAGTAAACCTAATGCAATTCCTGTGGAGGGAAAGAAGGTAAATGCTTATTGTTTATATATTTTTTAGAAAGCTTGGGTATATTTTTAATACATTTGATAAAGGTTCAGAATAACCAATGAATTAATATTCTGTTTGCATCCTTCATCAGGAGAAACAGAGCCCAACAGAAGAGCCAGCTGAGGATTCAGGAAAAGATTTGGTTTTGTGTGCGCCTGTCCCCTCTGCAGTGTCTGATTGTATYGAACCAATGGACACAGAAAGTGACACTACAAGCACTAATGACTCCATGGCTTCCACATCTGCAGCGAAAGACGAAAAGCCTTCTTGTCCTGTTGTTGTGGCTACCAGTTCCTCCCTTTCTTCAACTTCTCCTCCAGCATCTGATAAAGATCTGAAACAAACGGGGGAAATCAAAGATGAAGTAAAAGAAGTAGACAACAAACCCAGTGTGGAGACAGGGTCAAAATGTAAGGAAAAGACAGAAGTGTGCCAAATAAAATCAGAGGTCAAAAAGAAAAAGAAGGAAAACGGAGAAACTACAAAACCAAGTCGACCATCATCTACTCCACCTGATGCAGGTACAACAGCAGACATGTTCAATTTGAAATCTACAAAACACTTGGTTCCTATTTATGAACACAGTTTTCCAAAGAAAAAAATGACAAATGCAACAGGGCTTTACTATATGTTAATAACAAGATTACCCTTAAATAGTTATAATTAAAAAAAAAAAAGACACAGTTTACGTTGTACATTGTTTGAAATTATAAACCTTTAATTGAATGCTAAAAATCCAAACAGACTAATACAAACTGGGACAGACTGTTTTAAAAAACAAACTGTAGTCATCAGTGTTTATATTTTTTATTTCTCTCAGAAAAAGAGAAGAGTTCGTCCTCAGGACTGAAGCGCACTTTATCAGAGGGAAATGAAAACGATGAACCGACTGTAAAGAAAGAGGGGAAGAGACCCAAGGTGGAACATGAGGAGCTGGAAGCCCAACTGGAACTTAAAATCACAGCAAAAGCTGGCAATAAACATAAACTTGAAAAGGTTTGTAATAGACTTTGACACACAAGGTGGTCCCTGAGGTGCAAGACACCCTGTATGACCAAATCTCTCCTCTTGTTCTTTTTTTCTCATCTTTTAGATGATTCAACAAATTGTGAGTGAGCGACTGAAGATTTTGGAGCTGACAATTTTTGACAAACATTTCCAAGAGCTAAAAGACAGAGTAGACAAAATTGATTGTGCTAATAAACATCAAACAGCCATCACTGCACTACAAGTAAGTACATGGTACTATTCCAATGTGAAGCTGTTGTTTCATTTGAAGAACACTTGTAACGTAGTTAAAAATGACCACCTAAAAACCAAGTGTACRTCTTGTGTTTTTTAGTCAAAGATTCATCGGCTAACAAAGAAGTTTGGAGAGGCTAATCAGGCATCAGAAAACAAAAAGAAAGAGGAGGTAAGATATAACTTTTCTTATTTCATCACATTGTTTTGAATTATTGCACAATTTTATTTGTTTCTAATTTTTCTCACACAGAAAAAAGTATAGACTCTCCTAATGCTAATACACATACAGTGAGTTCAGAATGTATCCAGACTCCCATTAACTGTGATGTAAAAGTAGAGATGATGTCACCAAGCTTAACAGGGGTATTAGTCCAACGTATTGGGGTGTTTATATGAGTACAAGTACGAGTATTTGAGGCTGGTATTGGATGTTTTAGATATTTCTCTGCTCCTACAACACACCTGATTTGAATCAGTGAGTGTTTAACAAGCTTCTGCTCAACRGGAGAAGGTAATTTAAGCACCGAATCAGGTGTGTTGGAGCAGAGAAACAGACGAGAGACCTCTGTCTAGCCACTCTGCTGTAAAGCTCAGATCAAGAGGCCTGACGTTCTGATGGTCTTTCTGGAATTTAGGGCACTTTGAAAAAATATGTCCGATTTGGACAGAGCTCTGCCGGCAGTTCCTTTGACTTTGTGGCTTGTTTTTTCCTTTGATGTGCATGATAAGAGACTATTCATATCACATCCGGTCGATTTATTTAACCAAAGGTGGACTTGGGCAGATCTATATTTTAATWACAAGTGTTTTTGCAAAATATCTGAATATTTGTGAATGTACCACTATATTTGTCTTTTTATTTATTAGGAATACAAATAAAAATAAAACTTTATTTTGTTCTTATGTCCGGAGTACTGAGCGTAGATTAATAAAAAAAAAAAACAATGAAATGATTGTAGCAACAGGTAGCAACATGAAACACTTGGTGCGTTACCGCCACCACCTCTTGGTAAAGTTAGCAGCGTAATACTACTAGGTGCTGGTGTGCAAACAACAGCCATTTATCCAAAAGACAGACGCATTCACATTTGTAGCCTATAATTTCCATTTCTATTCTGTAGTTTACATCTGACGTGAGATCAGCAGATAAGGTTCTAAATGCTTGCTGTTGGATTTCCATAGGCACTTGCTGCTGCTGCTGCCACTGCTGCTGCCACTGCTGCTGCCACTGCTGCTACCACTGCTGCTAAGACTACAACAGTTACCAACAACCCCCAAGCTCAGCGGTAAGTCTATTTCTAAAGCAATTTCTTTCATAGATTATGTTGGTTATACTTTAAGAGTAGTGGTTTCTGAAGGTAAGCATAATGCTGCTTTGATTTATTGAAGTTTTTATATTTGCCACTTATGTTGAAGCTGACATTTTTCAGTTACCATTTAAAATTATTAAGTTTCCAAAAGAACAGTTATGTATATGTTTAGATGTGATCCTTGATTAATAAATCAGTTGTGTTCAGTGTTGTTTTGTGTGAATATAATTTGGCTTTTGTATGAACGTGACAATACCGGACTGATGCCAGTACCACACACAAGACTGTTCACAGCTCCAAGAGGTGACATTGTCCCAGGTTGCTAACCGTAATTATAAAATAAACCTAAAATTAATAAACAAAATGAAGAGTCTTCCAATTCTAAGCAGTTCTTCTATGTCCTTTGTTCGGTTTGTTAGGCCTAACTTTTTGAAACTCTTAATTACCTGATATTTCTAAAGCCTGTTTGGTATAAACAAACACACGCTCCAGTGATTTCTACCTGCAAAGCAACCCTGTATGGGTCCAGGTCCTGAGTCTTGTGACGTTCTACAATGTGAAGCCTGAGCGATTCTACAGGCAGAGAGTGTAGTTAAACCTGCACCTCTCCTCCCAACAGCGTACTCTTTGGGCAGACAGTAGCTCTGCAGCCTGAGGCGCCCAGAGAGGGAGTGGCGCACCCTTTCCATAAGACTACTGCACTGTCCACGAAGGAGAAAGAAGAGGAAGAGGAAATGGGGATGGAGATAAATGTGTCACGCCATATTGCCATGGCAAGAAAGCTGGCAGAATACAGTGAAGGAAGGTGCAGACCTGATATTAAGCTCCGCAGAATTTCTACTCAATTGGAGAGTGTGCTGTACTTCAACTGTAAGCGAGGCTCAGAAATCCCCAGGCCTGAGCGCTACGCATCTTACTTATTCCGCTACTTAGTCCCTTATGACATCTACTGTGGCTGGGTCGCAAAGGTCAATTATGTTGGATTAATGGGAAAGGAGGCACTGCCCATGAACTTGAGGAGGACAATAAAGAGATTCATTGAGCATCGCTTTCCCCTACTGCCCATTGAAAAATGGAGGGAGATTCGTGACGCCATCAATGAATTACTCAGAGTCAAGAGAAAACCGGAGTTTTTTCGAGAATACGATGAAAGGATTGCTTTGCCATTTTGACACGTTTTTGTCATAGGATACGTCGTAGACTACGACGTAGCATACTGGGACAATTGTCATTAAGTGTATTGGAGAATGCTAAAATATTTTGTCTATACCACAAACTTCAATTATAAAACTGAAATTTTTTTTCAAAAAGAAACTTGGTGACTTGGCACCATGCTTGAAAACAATGAACACTTTAAAAACTAATGCGATTTAAACTTGGACACTTGCACTTTTTTTTTAGTTGGGACTACTTTCAAGATGTTAAAGATGACTGTATGAAATGGAATAAAATGAATGACCATCTTCTTATCATGGACTTAAATGGCTTCTTATGTCAGCAACTCTAAGCATAGGCAATTTTTCTAAACAGGCCGGTCCAGACTTCCACTGAGGTTAAACAATCTCCAACTGTTGCTTCTTCCAGCACAGCTGGTAAGTAGCATTTCTTCTTTCCCTGAATGTTGTTTTGATTTGTTATTTTTTGTCATAATTATCATTGGTGTATATTTAGACATACAACCACCAAACAAATGTTTCTAAAAAAAAGTTTGCTTGTTCCTGTGTGTTGGTTTTCAAACTACTCTCAAAGTGCAGAGAAATGTTTTTAGAAATTAAAAAAACATTGAATTTCCTGTATTAGAATAGTTATAAGATCAAACTATGACACTTATTGTCATCAGTGTCATTGTTGGATATTGGGTCAGTAATCGTTGCGTTGTTGATTTTGGGTTAATAGAAGACAGACGTTGGATAGAAACATGGTACAGACTAACAATTCTAGGGGATATACAAGGATTGACCATGGCTGAGATGAATAACTTGACTATAATATGTTGAAGTTTTGTCTCAGGTTGATTTCATTTTCTTCTTTTTCTTTTCTTTTTTKTCCACCAGTTGCTCCGTTCCCAGAATCTCTTCCAGCCTCTGCTGCAGCTCCAGTTCCGGCTCCAGCTCCTGCCCCAATCGCAGCCCCAGCTTCCACCTCCACCACTATAGTTCCCCAGACCTCTATTCTCCAGCTCATCACCTCTAACTCTAATGCTGTCTCTTCGTTGGCTGCTGGGATCACTACCCAGAGTCAACCAGGCACTCTCCTGCTGAAAACAACTCCCGGTACCGGCATGATGACTGCAGGCCAGCCACTCGTCATTCATCTGCCTCTGTCCATATCCAACGGCCAGACAGGGCTGGTCAACTTCCCTATGTCCTCTTTGTCTGCAGCCAGCACACTAACCAAATCCAAAACCACTCCAGCTACCACCACCTTTATAATCAAGTCTCCTCCCTCAACGAACACAGCATCGGCCCCGACCTCAACTGTTGCCACGCTTCCAGCCATCCAGGCCCCCGCTGGTCAGGTGTCTCCTGCCCAGATCTCTCTAGCGCGAGGTGTGTACCAAGGAGGTGCAGGGAGAATAACTACGCCTAATGCTGGGGTATCTGTGGCCACAGTGAGGGCACCAGCTCAGTCCGTCTCTGTTGCTGGTGCTTTATCTTCAGCCTCTTCGCCTGCAACCTCTGTGCCAGCAGCTACAGGTTCCACTGCTCCAGGAACCCCACAGGGAACATCTCTGACATCCAAGACTGGTGAGAAAGATTTAAGATTAGTGAACGAGACTGTTTTTTTAAAATAGTATAATTTGATTAACAGCATTCTGTGTCTTAACAGACAATCAGGTCTCTAAAACAGCTTCAGGATCTGGATCATCTGGATCCTCTGGATCGTCTGGAGTCACTACTGGAGTCAATACTGGAGTCACTACTGGAATCGCTCAACCTAAAGCGGCTGTACCACCATCAAGACCCAAAGGCTCTGTCATTGATCTTACAGAGGATGATGATGACGTGCAAGGTAGGACTGAGCTTCAGAGCTTGTTCATCCTCTCATAAACTGACTCATTTTCAGCTCGAGTCATTTTAGGACCACTCGGTCTTCAAAAACGGTAGTCTTTATGTTTTTTTGTTTGTTTTTTTTAGTGACAGGAGTGAAGAAAGCCACAGTTCCAAGTTCTTCCTCTGCTCCCCGACCCAACCCAGTCATCAGCATTCCCAACAGTAAGAGCTACAAATTACATCAAACGTATGAGTCAGTTTTTGCACGTCTGTGAGTAGGTAACAATGTAGTGCCAGCCACTGTACTGTACTTGAAGAATAAGTTTTGTTTATATATCACCTCTTTAATTGTATTAAACATGTATTTGTGCTTTATCTACAGGTACTGGAGCAAGGTCATCTCCAAAAACCAATCAGAATCAGAACTCCAGCACTCCCCAGATTACAGTACATCACCGCCCCCCACAGGTGAGGATCTGCATTTACATCTGTTCCACATCTGTCCTTTTCTTCCAGCAGCTTTATTTAAGAGCTTCATTTCTTTGTGACGTGGCATCGAATCATCATATAAGGCTTTAATTATCACAGATCTGGCTTTTCACAATAAAAGCTTCAGATGGCAAGTGTTTGAAACGGAGAGTTTAAACTTTCCACACAGTCAGCATGAATCAGCATTCACACTATTGACATTCACTTTATTTGTATTTTTTCCTTTTTAATTAAATATTTTCTTTACAAGGTTTACATGTTGTCACAGAGGCTTCATTTTTACTTTACGTTTCTGTCTGCGTGTTTCATAAAAAGTGCTTTTTTCCAGACCTTAATGTTTTTACTCTGTGTGTTAAAATAACAACTCTTCAAAATATTTGTTAATGCCAGAGATTTTAGCCCCATATTTCAAACATTTTCCTAACTAATCTTTTATTTTGTTTGTGTTTAGGAGTCTCCACTCAAACCTCGTACTGTAACCACTTCATTGTCATCGCGGAGCTCCAACCCAGCTCTGCCCCCTCTCCCCCCGGCACCCGGAGTATCCCGTTTGCCCCCGGAGGCCGAACAAACCTCACCCCCTCAGCAGCTCCAGCTGAAGCTGGTGCCGGGTCAGACCGGTATCGTTCTGTCCTGGAGCGTTTCCGAAGTGGATCGGACCTGCGCGGCCGTAGACAGCTATCACCTCTATGCCTTCCACCAAGACAACTCGAGCGGCAACGCGACGCAGCAGCACTGGAAGAAGATAGGGGAGGTGAACGCCCTTCCCCTCCCCATGGCCTGTACGCTGACCCAGTTCCAGTCTGGCTCCACATACTATTTTGCCGTTCGAGCCAAAGACATTTATGGACGCTTTGGCACCTTCTGTGAACCCCAGTGCACAAATGTTATCAGTTCCAGCTCTAGTTAAATTACTCAAGAAACATGGACTTTATTTTTTATTTCTTTTGCTTCGATGATTTTGTGTTTTATTTCAAGAACTCAAACATGGTGTGTGGATCAGATACAGTATCTGTAAATATATCTACAAAAAAAAAAAAACACACATGAAATTCTGATTGACTTGGTGAGTTGAAGCAGTCAACAGTTGTTTTTCTCTGGTTTATTGTACTTGGTGTATTTTTAGTGACTTGAGCTGTTGTCTGTAACCCTGTATTATTTTTTCCCCTTTCCAAAGTGGGGTATTTATGTTGTTCACTCCTGTTAATCAGACATGATCGTTATTCTTTCTTTAAGGAGAAGTGATTATACAGTACATGTAAACTCAATTGCACAGAAATGTATACTTGTGTGTTAGAAGCAGAATAACTTTTTTTAAGTTCTGTCTGGCAACCAGACTTTAACAAAATAAAAGGTTTTATTAAAGTATAGGTCTTCTTTCATTTTTAATATTTCATCATGTAGTTCATTGAATCATATAGCTCATATTTTAATAATTAGAGAGTGCATATAGAAGAAGATCATTTTATGTTGATAATGACAGTGCTATATTTCCTGGCAAACCACCTAGAATTGCATGTAAGAACCTCCCATTGGATAATTGCTGCAGGAGTGATTGTTTCAGCTGGATTGAAGTTATTTAATCCAGACTGAGGCAGCGAGCAGCTTCTCATTTGGAAAAACACATCCTGTGGTCGTGGAAAAGACAAGCAGAGAAAACATTTACCAGTGAGGACATTGGTGAAACTTCTAAAACCAGGTTAAGAAATTAGTTTCCAGTTAACATGCATGTTTTTGGTCTGTGGGAGGAAACTGGAGAAAACCTCCCGTGCACAGAGCATACATGTCAACTTGTACGGATTGTCCGTAAATTATAAAGTTTTTTTGTCATTTTGCAGGTAAACGGACCTACAGAGCAATCTCACGGATTTTTTCAAAACCTCAGTTTCAAATGTATCTAACACCATGCTGCTACACAACACAAACAATGTGATGTTGAAGACACAAGGATGAAATCAGAATGAGCTTTTTATATTTGCCATTGTCTTTGGCAGCGGGCAACAAAAGTACAGCTCKATTATCTTGACTGAGAGGACAATTGACACGGCAGTGAACCAGCAACCTCTGTGTTTTGGGTGATAAATATCTTTTTTGTTTTGTCTAAATGGTTACTTGAAACAAAAGGAAATGGACACGAAACAATTTTAGTAATTACTGAGGGTTTTGAGCTAATTACCTGTAATTTCTTTGAAGAAGCAGATGCTGAGTGGTTGAACATCCTGACATTTTATTATGTTCAACATCATCGGTTGTGATGTTGAAATGGTGACCCACGGAGCAATTTTAGTACTCCACATTATTTCAAAGACCACTCACCAAATTAATTTTTTTTAAATTCTAGGTCAAAGGTTCTTAACCCAGTTCCTTGTGACCTACTGTTCTGCACGTTTTAGACATTTCCCTGCTTCAACACACCTGACTGTAGAGAGTGAGTGATTGACAGGCTTCTAAACTGGATGACTTTCTGATTAGGTGATTAAATTATTTGAATCAGGTGTGTTGAAGTAGGGAAACCAGCTAAAACATGCAGAACAGTGGGGTCAAGAGGAACAGGGTTGAAGACCTCTGTGTAGATCTTTATATTTACCTTCAAGTGCAGAAACWAAAACCATCAAATGAAATAATTCAGCTGGATTTCGTGAGCCTATTTCAGGATGGCGATGGAATGACTTGGACCGCAGCAGACGACGAGCTGAAAAAGGATCTCAGCATCAGTAATGACCAATTTACTGCACCTCAGATTAGAGTCTTCATAATTACTCACCTGAATTCAAATGGCTGATCCTTTTTTCAAACGGCTTCAAGGAACCCATTACTAAGGTAACCAAAATTATTACTTGGAACGTGCTGACAATTTAAAACTCAAAAACACACCTGTACAAATCTCATCTGTCCACAAATTAGTGTTTATCTTCAGATTTGACTGTCTACTTTTCCAAATTGCAGTACTTTCCTTCACCACAAGAGGGGGCATCATGACCTCAGAAAACGCAGGCAACCTGTTTCTGTAGTATATTGGTGCCAAGAAGCGTGCAAAAAAAATAATTCTCAGAATCCTGACTTTAATCTCAAATTTTAAAAGTTTGCAAAATATCTCATGCACCATTGACTGATTTTTAGTGAAACTTTCAAAGTGTTCATTGGGCTGAAAGCAATCCCCAAATTGTGCTCTAAATTTGAACTGATTGTGCAAATACTTGATTCAGTTCTGTCAGTTTATTAGCAGAATAACTCATTGGAGTGGCAAATTGTATTGAAACTTTCAGGAAGTAATCACTGAATGCAAAAAATAACGTAAAAATAACGGTTAAAAAATAAAAAGAGCTCACGCTATAAGCACTGATACAGGCATGGAACTGCTGTTTCATTCAGTCTATGTTGTTGTGTGTCTGTCCCTATCAAATAAACATAATAATAATAATAATTTTTTTATTGTTTTTAATGGATAAACTTTCGTTTTACTCATGAGCGTTGTGTTTAGTCACTTCCAGTTCACTCCAGGGCACAGAAATCTTTACCACTGAAGACTAACTACTATATTAACTATATTAATATTAACTACTGGACATGCGCAGTAGGTCTTCAATGCAAAAGAATAAGGAGGCTGTGGGCACAGCTGACCTGCGACCAGAACATGATTTGCATACCGGTAATGGGTCGATGTCATGTTCATTGTGGCAGTGCAGGTCCTGAAGCAAACCAGTAAACAAATGGAGGAGCTAACAACTCAGCTAAGTCTCTTCAAACAACCTTTTTGATGAAAACACACCAGGAGAATGCTAATGATGATGATGCTTTATTGTCATTGTACAGAGCACAACAAAATTACATTTAATAACACCCATTCAAGAAACACACAAGACAAACATGGGGGAACAGGTGTACAGGGCATGCAGCAACCAGCAGGGGTCACGCTACCTTTTGAAAGTTGGAAAAACACAATAGTAGAGGTGAGTTAAAAAAGGTTGCTCTGGTCCTATGTTTACTCATAAACACAGTCATATGCACAAAAAAACCACTCGCTAAAACAGCAAGACAGCTGGTGATCGGGGGGCTTAGGTTACTTGGGGTTGGGGGGCTTAGGGTCAGACACATGAGGATTCAGTAGAGCCAGTGACGTTTTAGGATAATTTTCCATGCTGGAACCAATCTGAGACCTGCCAGAGTCCAGAGACCAGATCTTATCGTCACATGCTCAGTTCACTGGAGTTCAGACTTTCCCCTCCTTCCTCACTGCCTTCAGACTGCTCCCCACACACGGATAATACGAAAAGAGGGAAGGGAATCAAGCCCTTGTTGACTTATCCTCCCAGCGAGTTTAGTTTACGTGCCAACTGAAGGTCAGCAGCTGGGTTCCAAAAAAGATAATCATAATTGTTTTGGGACAAGCAGCCCTTGAATTTTTTTTGTGCTGCTTTCAGTCTTTAATGCATATCTGAAAATGGCGAAACCCCTCCCCCAGTTCAGAATTTCGTGACCTCCTTCAGCCAGGTGTAATCCAACACTCCAGAGGCACGCTGTTGGTCTGCCATTCTCGTCAGAATCACATCCAGTTTGCGATTTTATCTCCCCCAGCATCTGAGTCGGTGCGCTTCCAGTTTGGCTGATWCAATTCATTGTGCCTGACAGCTTTTCTAGGCCCAGACTGCTGTCAGGATCACTTTTTCATTTTCCGATAAATCAAAAATCTGCCTCTGCCTATCAGCAGAAATCCAATTATCATAAATCCAAATATATACAAATCTTCCACATCTTCAATGGAAAGCGGCACCAAACAGATCAGGTTCCATCCCCAGGAACCACTGACCTGACCAGCAGCAACCATTCCACTGGGATAGCTACGTCCCCATTGTTCCAATCTTAATGTGGAAAAAATAGTGTCAGTTGCGTTCAGAGACCAGTTGACCAGATCCATAATTCCTTTTTGTTATGGATGATAGATAGAAGAAGGGTTTGAAAGAGCTGCAAAGCAGGGAAGGAGGGACAGGTTCGGGAGAGAGCAAAAAAGCGTCCGACTCCTCTGGAGGCCAAGCAAGAGAGAGAGAGAGAAAAAAAGCTTAAAGTAAAAGAACTTGGACCAATCAGCCAAACACAGAGCAGCAGAACAAAGACAGAGGAAGAGTTGGTTTACACTGAACCTGAAATAGCATCAAGGCTAAGCCAATGCCCCCCCCACCCCGCCCACCCCCAGGAAGGACCTCCTGTCAGAGCTGAAGGGTTGTATCATGCACCCCAATCCTGGTCGCCTTTGACTCTGGGTTTGGCCACTGCAGGGCCCAGTGCTACCTTCTCAGACTATGGGGAGGTTGGATATACAATAAGTAATGCAAGGGCCCCTTCCACTCGGCTGATGTATACTCACAAGTGGAAGGTTTTTAGCAGCTGGTGTCGATCTAGACATGAGGATCCTGTGCACTGTACTATTTCAGATATCCTTGCCTTCCTTCAGAAGCCACTTTCGAAGGGTTGGTCTCCATCCACCCTGAAAGTTTACATCGCTGCCATCTCTTGCTGGCATAGGGTGGTTGGGGGAAAGACTATAGGCCATAACAAGTATGTGTCCTTGTTTTTGAGGGGTGCACGACGTTTGCATCCCCCCACACGCCTTGTCGTGCCTSTGTGGGATCTCTCGCTGGTCCTCGATGACCTGCGGTCCTCTCCATTTGAGCCCTTGATGGAGCCTTGAGTGTTTGTYGAAAAAGACTGCGTTTCTCCTGGCCATGGCTTCAGCCAAATGTGTAGGTGAGCTTCATGCATGGTCAGTTCACGAGTCCTGCTGCAGGTGGAATCCAGCTGGTTCAGGTGTCACTCTCTGGCCTAATGCAGCATTCCTCCCCAAAGTGGCCTCGTCTGCGAGCCAATCTCTACCTCTCCAGCTTGCTCATTTTGAAACAGGTAGAGCTAGTGAGCCTCTCTGCCCTGTTCTAGCTCTGGAAGCGTACATCAGACAGACAGCTTCTCTGCGACAGTCTGATAATTTATTTATGTGCTACGCAGGGCCTCACAAAGAGCAGGCTCTTTCAAACAGTCTTGCACACTGGATTGTCGATGTGGTGGAACACTCGTACACTCTACAAGGCCACCAACCGCCTGCAGGGGTGTGGTGCCATTCCACCAGGAGCATTAGTGTTTCATGGGCTGCTATGGCTAGGGTCACTCTGGAGGCTATTTGTGCAGCAGCTTCCTGGTCATCCCTGGACACATTTGCTAGGTTCTACAGATGAAACTGGCTGTCCTGCACCCGTTGGAGACGGTCCTGTTGCAGCACTCCTCTTCAACTCAGTGAGGTGGGGATCGCTTTTGCTTGTTTTCTTTTTGCAATTCCTCAGGACTCTGTTGGTAATTGGCGTTCAGTGCTTTAAGCACCGCCTCTGGTGGTCAGTAGGGATGAAATAGAACGAAAGTTACAAATGTAACTACGGTTCTATCCTGATGACTGCCAGAGCATTCGGTCCCTCAGAATCATTGTGTTTTCGCGAGAGGATTAAGGGACTGAGCTACTGTTGTCACTTGACTATATAGGCTCGCCGGTGTCAACGGAGTCACACGTGACTATGTTGGCACAAGATACACAACCTGCGCATGCACAAGAATGATCATTCAGTGCTTTATGCACCGCCTCTGACGGTCATTTGGGATTCATAGAACCGTAGTTACATTTGTATCTTTCGTTCTCTGAAGCAGCACTGAAGACCATGAAGGCTCACCCAATGCTGAACAGGACCAAGAAGTCTGATCTAGTTCAGGAGCTACAGTGGTGCTGTGGCTCTGTACCAGCTCTTCATGGAGAACAATCTGCAGGACACCTTCAGAGACTGTGACTCTACTGAAGATTCTCATCACATCTCCTCTGACCACAGCTGAATCTGAGAGGAGCTTCTCCACACTGAAGATAATCCAGACTTTCCTCAGGTACAACATCACATCTCTCTGCACTGACCATGCTCTATAGAGAAGAATCTGGTTAAAACATCGCTGACTTTAACCAGAGTCATGAAGAAATTTGCTTTTCAGTTACAGAAAGGCAAACTTATGTACAAAAAATAAAACACTACTTGAGATTGTAATGCAGTTTTGTAATTTTCATTTGTTTAATAAATACATTGGCATGATACAGTTTAGTACATGTTTGATTGCCCCCCCTGCAGAAAAATCCACCAGCTGCCACTGCATAAAACCCAACGTTTTAAAATTATTTTGATACTTAGCAACAGAGGGAGCCATTACTTAAAAAAAAAACAACAAAAATATTTTTCTCCACAGCAGCCTGTCTCTGATTCACAATCCTACAGAGGGACCCACCTCCACATCTCCCTCCCTCCCTCCCTCTGAGCATCTCCTGCTCTYCTCCCACCTCCTCTCCAGAGGGGGAGGGAGGAGAGCCAGAGCGCACAGCTCCAGAGTTGTGGTCCGCGCGCCGCTCTTCGCTCGCTCAGAAGTGTGTTTTTTTTGGCTCCACGCTCCGAGTCTCCTGCACATCGGCAGCAGCAGTGCCATGTCTGACAGCTGGATGGGCAAAAGGTTGCAGCTCATCTGAGGAGAAGGTGGCATCTTGCTTTGGGGAGGAACAGAAGAGGAAAAAGAAGACTTGACCAGTTGCTGAGGGAGAGAGAGAGAGAGGAGGAGGGGGGGATATAACTGAAAGCCCCCCTCCTCGCCCCACTAAGCAGAGCAAAACGGAAGGCTTTGGAGTATTCAATTTTTTCTTTCGTTTTGTATTTTTCTTATTCCTCATCGCAGTGCTGGGAGGTGCTTCATCTTTTCATATAGTCTCTCTCTCCGTCATCTGCCTCCTCATTTACTTCTCCATCTACGTAGTCTATAATTTCTTATATTTATGAGAGAACGGAGAGAGGAGTTCTGATTTCATTTTTTAATTCTGTCCTTTCGCCCTCCCTCCCTCACCCTCTCCGTTTTCACTGAACCCCGTCACTCCTGTCACTCCATCATTATCAGTTCACCCCCAACTCCACCCCATCTTCCACCCCATCTTCCACCTTCTCCTGTCTCTAAGATGTTAAATGAACTTGGATTAATTTTCTTCAAAGACAACTAAAAAAAGAAAAAAAAACTCCTCATGAATGACTTCCCCCCCCTTTTCCTTCTCTTTTGGTCCCTCCACACCCATTTTCTTTGCATCACACTCTTGCGGGATTCTTTAATGTTACTCTAGGTAGGTTAACTATTGTTTAGTGTCTGTCTATCTGTCGGTCTGTGTGTATTTGTGTGTGCTTTACGTAGACATAAAACACACATTAACACACACATGCACTCGCACACTAAACTATGCCTGAAGGAGAGTGATCAGTGATTTATTTATTTTTTGTTTTGTTTTGTTTTGGTTTGTCCTCATCGTTTTTATTTAAATCCTCCTCCTCAGTTCATCTCACTGTTCTTTTAATTGGTGTCTTTGAAAAAAAATCGTTTTTTTGGTTCATGCTTTTAATTTCTTAAATATTTTTGCAACCTGTTGTGGAGATTAAAGTTGGCCCTGGCTGTAATGAAGTGAATATGTCTCTTTTCAGTTTTATGGTTTTATTGATCTATTATTTTTTCTTAAATTTATTGAGTTGCATTCAGTTTTGAACTAATGGCAGTCTGGAGTTATTAAAAGAAAATGCCATTTGTGCTTTTTTTTTGGTTCTTAGTCCATCGGTTCTGTTCCTGCCTCTGCCTCTTGCCATCCCACACACTGCACACAATCCTAGATATTTTTTAACATCTGAAGCTCCTGCATGTAAATCCATTTTCCTCAAAAGCCTATTTTTTGTTTTCCCAATTCTTTTATCCTCCTCCTACTTGTGTAAGAGTCGGGGTGACATTAGCAGCCTGATCTGTGGACTGAGCTTGTGAAGCTGTGGACTTGAGCTGTGCAGGTTGAAGATAGACAGACTGATAGATAGAACTGAATCTTCCATCCTCTCCTTTTTTGTCTTTGTCTCCTCCTCTGTCACATCTTCCTCCTCTCTTTTTGTTTGATGCTTCGCTGCCACAGCTTTGTGCGAGCTGTTTTAAAGCCTTAGACTTATTTTAATAGCTTGTTTGTGTACGTGAGACTGAAGCTGCCTGCTCTTCAACCTTAAAAGTAGACGAGTAGCTTAGGCCCACATCAGCTACTGTTAGTCTTCCACGCCCACCACCTCCTCCTCATGGACTGCTTTAAAAAGGGGCGTAACACGTCCCTCTTTTCTTGTTGAGAGGAGGATGTCGTCATGAAGGAACATGAAGGACCAGTCGTTTTGCTCTGTCTTTGCTTTTGTGTCTCAGCTCTGCTCCTCTGTAAAACATCTCCACCACAGTCTATAAAATTATGTGTTGCAGAAAAGAGTTAATTAGGTGAGTAAGTGAACTGATTCGGCGCTCACTGCTTCTCCCGGAGTGAGTGCATGCACATGCATGGAGCGGCAGGGTGGGTGTGTCGCCCTGAGACGTGCGCGTGTGGACGCACGGGCGCAGCTGATCGAGCAGGAGCGTGCATGCCTGCATACTGGGAACGAACTGTGCATGCGCTCCCATCAGCAGCTCCTCTGTGAAGGCTTCTGATGTTTTACCACCACGTTTGCCTGCACCGAGAAACCTCCTGTGTCCAACTGGTTGTTGATCAGACCATGGCTTTGATTTCTTCTTTTAATATATATGTTTCACTCTCTTAAGTTCCACACCTCTTTGAGTTATCGCTTTGCTCAAACAAAAATAAATTTAGCTTCTTTTTTTTAACTTAAAACAAGCTCTTCCTATAAAAACGTGATTTTGGTTCTTGTCGTAGCAAGATTTACCAAGAATGCAGAAACACGTTGGAATAAATGCACAGATGCGTGTATGGTCGTCAAATGATTTAATCTTGAGCGACAACAAACAGAAGTCAATCAGGAAGTCTGTCAAGTTGTGGCTGGGCCCTCAGCAGAGAGGCAGCCAAATATAACATCATGTGACATGCTTACAACCAATCACAGTTCGCCAATTGTAACCACCTAACCAATGACAGGGCTGTCAGCCTGGAAACACCTTAACAGAAATTAAAGAGGTCATGCATTGCTGGAGTCTTGAAGTCTGGGCCGATAGAGTAAAACAGCCGAAACTGGTTATAATAAGATATGATTACTGGACAAGTGTGAAGGTAGAACAGATACACATAATTAATCCATAACAGTTCTTGTGTGCAGACTACATTATTTTAGTCCTCTTCATTTTTATGGTGTAGAGGGGGAAAAAGTGGTTTAGTTTTCATTTTTAAACCAATGCCACACCGGATATTTTTTATTTTACTGCCTCCATCACATTTTGTCTTAGTAGCGATGGATCTGCAGCAGATCTCTGGGAAATATATATATTTTTTACAAATAAATAAACCAACAGATCTGATGTGACTCATGCATTGGCTTGGCTGTTTGACTCCCCAGCAAGACCTTAATGAGAACACTGTGACATAAAAAGTTGCGCGCGTCCAACTGCATCCATCACGTTGGCTAAAGTGATCCAATGCTGCCTTCACCTGTACACAACCAGAGGCTGAATCAAGCAGCTAAAAGAGCTGATACATTAGAAGAATTTAAATACATTTTTTACCTTTTTATTTATACAGATTGTCTCATTGAGATCCAAGATCTCATTTTGAGAGACCTGTTTTGATAAAATAATTAGACCAAACAAGTCTTTTTTTCTAGTCATTCCTTTGTTTGTTGAAGGAATGCGAGTTTAATCAGACATATTTCAACGAGCTAATGTCATATTCTGTGATGTACTCGGAGTATTTTCTGAGACTGACTCTCAGCTACTAGCATATCAAATTTAAGTGCAATAATCATACATTTAACTGAGTTGTAGCCATTTTTGTGTCTTCTAAAATCAGTTTTCTGTGGCGGCCATCTTGAATTGGGTTGAATCCAAAAGTGAAGGAGTTGTAGATGTGCATGTGCTGATTGCTTCTTGGAAAATGAATTAAAAACGTGTTCAACGTTTTCCTAAATATATTGTTGGCTGTCGCTAAAGTGGAAGAGCAACAAATATTCTATGGCTGTTTGTTCTTAAAACAGCTCCATTAATCGTTTGAAAAAAAGAATTTCTTTATTTTTACTAAACATCTCCAACTTAAAGGTTTTTAATCATTCAGGACATATTTCACAAAAAAAGAGAGAAGTAACACAACTCTGAGCACAGAGAAATTTTAAAATGCTAAGCTCGCCTCCCGAGAAAAAAAGGTTYACCTCAAAAAGACAACCCCCGACACACTCACATTCTTAGAAATATACTGCTTCCCTAAATAAAAATAACTAATAATAAAAACGAGTAAAATATTTAGCACACACAAAATTGACGTGAGACGTGTATAACAGCTGCTCAATATAATTTTCAAAACTGCACAACCCCTCCCCCCAACACCCTCCAAAGGAAAAAAAAACCTGTAGCTATGAGATTAAATAAACCTTAAGTTGTTTTATTAAAAAATTCTCAGTGTTATCCTGCATGAGTCAAACCATCAGTATCGCATCAAAACTACCTCGAGAGTCCCGCGTAATTACACGATAAAGGAGCGAAAAACGGATATTTATAACAGAAAATTTGCTGAATGAATAATTTATTTGACTGCCAGACGGGATTAAAATTCTGCACATGTAAATATCCACTGACAGTTTTCCTCCAGGCTCAACTGAGTCTACCTGCATCTGCAACTCCCTCAACTCGCACACACTCGGTTTTAAACACAAATATCAACATGGCCACATTGTTTTTTCTTAAGATAAGTTAAACTTTTTATTAATAATTAGAAAAACACATTTTCTCACCATTAATAAAGATGAATTTAAAGTCAAGTTTGCACAAAAGGGGTATTTTTTAAATCTAAATTTGGAACAGTCATGCTGGCAGCTGATTCAAGTGGGTCTCAAAAACATTCATCAGTGATCAACATATTCATGTTAACGATCAGGTGTCATAACGATGCTAAATGATAAAACTGGATATCGTAAAATAACAGAATCGATAACTTATGATCGAGTGTCAAAGTTTGTAACAGCAGGTGTGGCTGTGTTTTGGCTTTCAAATAGTTTTTTTATTCAGACGTTTGTTCTGAGTTTCTAAGCTAATATTTCAACAAGCAACCATAAAACCAACAAAAGTCACATTCCTTTTCAAGTTCATGAATTATTTTACTAACAGACACACAAACCCTCACAAGCAATTACACGATGATCGTTTTAATCAGCCATCCTCTCATGGCAGTGGACTGTAATAAAGCAACTATTGACTCATCGGACATCCTAATTAAACAGAACACGTGATGCTTTTGTGACACAAACCTGCTAAATCTCAAGGTTTAATTGTGGTTTAATTGAGAATTAAAGGGGTTATAAAATTATTCATATCCGCATAGTGAAAAATAAACATCTTGGTGTTTTTTTAAGAAAATAGAAAACATGGTGTGATCCTCCTGCACTGCCACAGAGACCCTCAGATCCTTTTCATTTCCCCCAGATAAAAAGCCTCATGCCTCCAACAGTCATATGTTGTTTGTCCCACGTGTTTTAAAAAGTAAGCATGGAAGCGAAACAATGCATCTGCATGACTGCATCCAACTGTTTTCTTTGTGTTTAGAAGCCTTGCCTTTAGTATGTTTCTGTTTTATTATTTGACAAAATGCTGTTTGTTGTTGTTGATGATGATGATGATGATGATGATGATGATGATGATGATGATGATGATGATTCCTTGACATTGTGGACCAAGCTGTTTTCTTTGTCTCTTCACCAAAGCTGGAACTGAAATATAAGGAGGCTGATAGTCCTCAGTGTGTTTGTCAAAACAGGGAGCGTTTAAGGTGCTGATGATCTAAATGTCTGTAATTTATGTGATGACACACTTGTCTTTATTCAGTAATTGGCCACACTTCTGCACTGACAGGACGTTGTTCCTGCCGCCTCTAGAGCTGTTTATGAGCGTTCTGTTAATGAATTTTACACGCCTCACATGCTGCGTTGTTTGTTTCAAAGAAAAAAAAAACGTTTTTTTTTTTGTTTAAAGAGGTTTTTTTTAAAACCATGACGCTACACAAACTGCAACCGTTTTAATGATGAAGAACAAAAAAGTCTGGTCCAAATTCAGATCTAAACCCTCAACTGACATCTGTAGGGAAAAAAATACAACAAACAGAATATAATTTTGGAAAACATAGACATATTAACACAGATACTGTCCACATGAAATCAATTTTATGCTTTCATTTAGACTCATTTAGATGTATTTAATTATTATTATTATTTTTGCTATTGCATTATTGAGTAGGCTACTGCAAAAGATTTTGATTTCTGAATAAATATACTACAAGAAGTGACAGAGTTGTAGCTGTTTTGGTCAAACCTTGTAAATGAATTTATCCAGTGTTGTATAAAGTACCTCAAAGTGATACTTGAGTAAAMGTACAAGTATCTTATAAAATGACTTTGGTAAAAATTACGGTCTCCACTAAAATTGTTACTTGAGTAAATGTCTTTAAGTATCTGATTTTTTTTGTACTTAAGAATAGAAAGTAAAAGTATTGAGTAAAAACAAGKGGTTTGATTTTCCAAAAAAACATTTATTAGGGGCTGACCTCTCCAAAAACTATTTTTTAAAGGCATGTAGATGTGACAAATTGTGTACAAAGTAACACGGTGTCAGCTTGGTATATATTTATACTTCTCATCCAGCCACAATTAAATTCACTCCATCCAGGAGACACAATTTATCAGGACAATAAGAAGAGTAACAACTTTCTACTTCTTACTTTTTTAAAACATGTAAGGAGAAGAAAGTATAACTGTGTAAAAATGTTAGGAGTAGAAGTAAAAATAATTACCCAAGTAAAGTGCAGATGACCAAAATTTCTTCTCAGTTACAGTAACAAAGTATTTGTACTTAGTTACTTTACCTCGATGGAGTATGAGGGCCACACTACGGTAGATTTTTTAAATTATTATTACGAAATTAAAGTTGTAATTTTATAAGAATAAAGTCATTATATTACGAGATTAAAGTCATAATATTACAAGATTTAAGTCGTAATATTGCGAGAATAAAGTCATAATTTAACTAGATTAAAATATTATATACAAGATATATAAAATAAAATAGATAAATATTATGAATAAATAATAAACGAATAAATGACAAATATTGCAAAGATAAATATTATGAGAAAAAAAGTCATAATCAGGGCGTGTCTATTTCCCGTTCGTCATTTCCTCCTCATTTCTCCCACACCTGTGTACAGCCATGTGTCTGTGTTCATAAAGTAGTCCATGATGACTCGTTAGATTAATATGCTTTCATTCAAATTAGCTACGTGATGACTAAATCGCCAATGCATCCATTAATTACAATACAGCTTAAATTTATAGTTATTTGCACGATTTCCATGTCCTGCTACTGATAATTTGATGCTAATATGCTAAAAGATTAACTATTTATTCATAGCAATACTAAAATATAACTTGACAAGTTGCTCAACATGTCTCATTTTAATGCAGTGGTAACTGCATGCTTTTTCACGTAAAAGCTACAATATTATAACTTTTTTCTCGTAATGCTATGACTTTAAACATTACTACTTTAAACTCATAATATTATGACATTAAACTCGTAATATTATGACTTTAAACTCGTAATATTACGACTTTATTCTCATGATATTATGACTTTATTTTTTATAGGACTTTAATGTCGTAATATTTCTTTATTTTAATCTTTATTGTCTTTAATCTCGTAATTAAAAAAAAATCTCGTTGTGTGGCCCTAATACTCCGTCATACTTTACAACTCTGGCTGTATCTCATGCGATGATGTAAAATCTTAAAGTGTTCGGACAGCGTTTTAAAGATGACTCTCAGCTACTTCCACACTAAAATTGAACTTAATATCTGTAAAACTGATTGTGTTAAAGTCATTTCTACGTTGGCTAAGGTCAGCTAGCTGTGGCGGCCATCTTGAAAGAGGCTGACTCTGAGGGATACTGAAGTGTAGCCAACCATTACTTTCTAACTAAAATCGGTTTAGTGGTTTATGACATGTTCGGCTRACAACACCCCCTRAGATCCTTCTTTTATTGCGTCAGACAATAGAACRTGAGAAATGAGGAAAATGCACGTATATTGTCTTCAGTCATCCACAATATTTCAGTAGCCTGTCTTTAACCGTGCAGTCCCAGTTTGGAAGTAAAGTTTTTCCAAATCCATCTTCAGACATTTCTGAACAGAAATAAGCAAAAACTGAAATAAACACCTACTCTGAAGTGCAACACTTGTTATTCTGTCTGTGTCAAACATCAGCTGCTCTGATGTAAATAATGTTGCAGAATCATTATCGAATCACATACAGTCAGGCTTTGCATCAAGAAACACTTGATTAACCCTGAGTAGTGTAACCAGCAGCTCGAAACACTCCAGACGTTCAGATTGCAGTGAAGGAGTCACTCAGACTCAGCAGCCTGAGTGAGTTCAGGCCTGACCTGAGAAGAAAATGACTTGTTTAGACTCTGATGTTCAGCCCTCACCATCACACTGAACCCGTACTCTGCTGCCTGACTCTGCTCTCCATTTCTTTCTCTGGTTCAGACCGAGAGGAGCGAAGAGAAGAGCGAGCCGCCGAGCCGAKGATCATGACTGGCTAAATTAGGCGAGGGCTCAGAGTCACGGGAAGCCGAAGAAGAGGGGGAACGTCCGCGCACACCGCTGCTGCTCATCTCCACAGCAGCAGAGCTCGCGCACAAGCAGACTTCTGGACCTCGACGAGCTCTGGAGCTTTGAAGGAAAGGCAGTCGGATGGAAAGAGACCAGTGAAAAGACTCTCCATTTCTCATCATCCAGTTTCTTTAGCCGAGTTCCCTTTAGAAGCTCTGACATTTTGAGTTAGTTCGTTTCCAAAAACCTCTGACATCTGAGTCAAAAGCATAAGCCGGCCAATTTGGAGCTYGTTCTTTACAAATCAGTCCTTTAGTTTTGGTCAGACACCACCCTTCCCTCACTCTAACCATCCAGCCTCAGCTCTTCTTCCCGCCTTCAAATAATCCAGCTGCACTCCTCCGTCTACCTGCCAGACCCCCCCTCCTGTCCTCTGTGTGCGACTTCATCAGTTTACACCCCCTCATCCGAGGCTATGAGAGGAGGGATCGAATCGCAGGCCACTCCATCATGCCCGTTCTGAAGAGCAGAGGGGAGATCCGGGCTGGCAATGTTCAAGGTAAGCCACCAGTGGATTTACACTTTACTGGGTTTTAGGACTTCTTTGGAAGCCCTGAAGGCATCTTCTTCATTTCAGCTGAATTAAGCTCAAATTAATCTGAGGCTTCTCATTTATTTGACTATAAGGAAGAGACCAGAATGCCTCTGGGTACTGTAGGACAGATATTTAACTTATCAAAGCAGCACAGAGTCAAGATTACCTTTCAAAATAATAAAAAAGCTCTGCATGATTTAAATACAGCCCGGATCCTTTACAACAGAAGCATTGTCACTACTGTAGTGACAGCGTACCTTTGCTTGTTTCCAAATGAACATCAGTAGCTTTATTTGTACAATCATGCAGTAAATAAGCCTTTATAAGTTTATACTCTGGCACGAATACATTTTATTCGATCAAGAAAAACAAAACAAAAAAAAGTACCACTTTACAATAAGGCTCCCCTTATAGATGGCTTATAAATACTATATAGATAAGTTATTAATTTATCTGTAAACTCTTTATACATCATTAATAAGTGTTTATTATGCATTAATTAAGGAAGAAAAAGACAAAACTGTCCTGTTTTTGGTCAACTAGTGATCCAAATCTGTTCACGTATATTACATCTTAAGTGCTGTATTAAACATTTTACACTAGATTACTACCTTGTAAACACAATAATGTATTGGAAACACAAATTTTACATATAATATTGCACAGTATTGTATCCACAACTATTAGAGGTAACCTTATTGTAAAGTGTAAAACTGTACACTATTTATAAGGCTCCATTATGACATTTATTAATCATTAATAAATACTGTAAATATGTGTTTCCAATACATTATTGTGCTTACAAGTTAACCT